AGGAGCAACTGATCCTTTCAGCAAACACACTGCTACACAAAATATTATCAAGTAAAGCTTCTCATATACATATTTATATATAAAGATTGCTTTTGAGAATTCTTTTTTTTACCGAAGGAAAATGTAAATGATGTTTTTAATACTAATTAAATGTCCTGCTCACAAAAAAGTACTGTTTAGTTTGCTCAACAAAATTTTTCCTTTTAAGCATCAGAGATTATAACCCGTTAAGCCTCGGCCAGCTCATTCTCATAATCAGGTCTAACGTGTTCACTAAGATGGTGCTTAGGATCGAGTCTCTGAATACCCTGTACTGAGAATCCGAACAACTCAACACGGAAGCTTCTCACCTATTCCTGTCGCTCACGTCACTGTGATCACACTGACTTATTCCCCACGGGAAGCAATCTGCTGAAATGATACTTTCATAATAAATAGTTACGGTAGAATGTCTCGTTTGTAGTAAGTTAAATTTATAAATGATAGCACAATTCACTTACATTTAACTATAATTATCCCCTATAAAGATCTAATGAAATAATCTAATAAGTACGGTATATCCCTACTGCAAAGTTGACCTCTACAAAATAATCATTCTCGGCAACTGTGTTCAAACCTTTTTATTTTGTTGCCCATCATGAATCCAATTTGGGGCAGAGGTTAAGGGCAATGAGAGAAAATTTACTAAAATTAAACGTAGAAGCACGATTAAGTGTACATTAGCTTCTTATAAGCCTATGGGATACACAGAACTAGTTGAGTTTTTTTTTTTTCTATTACAAAATTTTTTTTTATGTCAAAGTATCACGGGGTATAAATGTTTTTGGTTACATGGCCCGTCACCCAGATAGAAAGATGTGGAACGCTTCATGAATTTGCATGCGTCCTTGAGTAGGGGCTGTGCTAACCTTCCCTGTATCTTTCCAATCTTAGTATACGTGCTGCCGAAGCCAGCACCTAGCTCAAGATTATACTATCAGGAGACTTCAAGTCTTATCCTCTTAGCTAATAAAACACAGCAGAACTCACCTCTGACTCTACCTAGAGTAAAACCAAGCTTTACCTTAACTGCTTAAAAACACTGAAGAGAAATCAGCTATGAACCTGTACCCCAAAGGTCTTTGCTGGTATCTGAAAGTCTGCGTGACTCTCTCCTGTTTTGTCATCTCCTTTGGGGTAGGGAGATAAACCCCTTGCTTTCTTCCGGGATAGCAAAACCACATTATTTCCCTGTCTGGGTTCCTATAACCCAAGAGTGCCCAGAGGAAATCCCCACAGAAAGGGGGTTATGGTCATTACCAGCCCCGCCCCCACCACCGTGTAGACTGGCTGGAACTAAGTACAGCACTGTGTTCCCTTCTCCTATAAACACGTGGTCATGGCTTCTCCAGAACATCCAGATAGCAACAGCTCTCCACAATGCTGACAATCCAACCCCCAACCAGGATATGTGGGAGAGCGGAGGTCAATTAAACTCAATCAGGGTAAACGATGCCTAAAAGCACACATGCCAACAATATGTGGTTACTGTAAGCAGTTCAACAACTAGCTTTACTCTGGGTGGCTTCTGGTATTCTTGAAAACGTGATACAATATCCAAAGAGAAAACATATTTTGGTTTATACAGTTAAAATCTGCAAACAAGGGAATTTCTGGTTTTTATTTCTAAACCTTATTTTAGATTTCATATCTGGAAAAAGACCTTAGAGATCATCTGGTCTCACCTCTCTCCTCATTTTAAAGAACTGGAAATATCTGAAAAGAAATTGTCTAGGGTCACGTGGTGAATTCAAGACAAAGCTAGAACTCACGCCTTATGACCGTACCTCATTATTAAGAAATGTTATTTCTCCAAGAGGAAATTCGTTTCACTGGCAACTTACTCTAAATGATGGCAATACTTAGCTCAAACCCACCCCATCCTGTATCAGTTGTTAATGATCACATCACCAACAGACAAAGGAATGGCTCTTCAGAACTACCGCCCAGGAATGTTTAAAGATCTATTTATTCCAGGAATAAGAAACAACCCGATAAAATTCAGAGGAGACGCTACATCTCATTTTAGTTTTCTGTTCTGATAGTTTCATAATCAGTAATTACTAATTTGAAGAACTTGCTTACCGAACTGAAAACTAGACAAAGTAAAAAAAGGAGGATAATTATTAACCAGGTCACTGTAGACATAGTACTATTTACGAATGAATGCGGCATTTGTGTAAAAACAAACATCACCATAAATCTGACAGCACAGTAAACTCTAGAATCAAAATAGGGTTTTTCTATCCTCCTCTGGGAGAATTACGGGTGACTACATAAGGACAAGATGTCAAAAAATGTGGCTGCCACTCTCCTGCTCCGGTTGCGGTGGGGTAGGGGGGACACAGAGCTGGGAAGAGCCAGGAAAGCCTCCTTTGTCTGAGGAAATTAGGAGATCTTCGAATAAAGAAGGAAGATGCCAAATAGCATCCAGCCCAGGAAACAGTAAGTTTGCTTCTTAAACCAACAGCCTGTCTTTGCAGTCTGAAAAAGCCAATCAACTGTCTCTTTAACTTCATTTACACACACGGGTTGAAGACATTCTCAGTCCCACTCTCTCCTAACCCAAAGAACAAGGATATCTAGGAGTCATCATACTTGGTAAACTTTTTCACGAAATGGTTACTAATTTATCATTTTAACTAGGGCATTCTGAAAATTCAACGCTCTTTTTATCCTGGCTTGCTGCGTGGAGACAGGGAGTGTGGAAGAGTGAGGCCAAGGCAGAAACCCCAGAAGCAAGTGCCCCTGTTTGCATGAGGAGAGGCTGATACGTGACTAGCTCAACTGCAGACAGAGGAGGACAGTTGGAAAGTTTGGTAACCGGCCAAAGTTAGCCAACCAGGAGAGTGTTCCACCTTTTGATGTTCTTTGCAGAAAACGTAGTGACTTTCTCACGTGACCCTCTAACATATCTCAAAGAGGGGCTGCTGAACCGTTTAGGGGAGCACGCCTGGAAGTAAGATTAAACAGTTTCCTATCTCTACCTCCTTCCTATCATCAGCGTTTTTAGATTGCTCGGTGGCTGCAAAAAAGAGAGATGGTAAAAGAAATAAATCGAAGGGATGAGCGTGAGAGAAACAATACTATTTTAACTTGGAAACTGCCCCGGGCCTGACCACACGTTCTTACCACACCCAAGCTGTGCTCTAACTTTACGGCATCGTAAAGGGAACCTCTTTCGTCCTTACTACCAGGGCCGGAGACCTTCACAACACTCAACTGCAGAAACTCCTGGGCGGGGCCGACAGTCACCCCACGTGAAAACGATACCAAACCATAAAACATGAAATAGACAGGCGTCCTGAAATTAAAATATCTGCTTTCTAGATTAAAAAAAAACCCACAATTCTCCCCTAATAAGAACTCTCAAATATAAAAAAAATAGCCAGCACGAATTAAGTACGTACTTCGTATTCTAATTAAAGAGAAAAAACTCACCCGTAAGCAACTCCTGCTATGGTGCACTTCTTAAACTGCATCACATTGCATGTCAAAGTGCCCGTCTTGTCAGAAAATATGTATTTCACCTAGAAAGAAGTTTAACATTTCTCATTAATATTTCAGAAGTCTCTTTATGCCAGTCTTTTATAGAGGAAAAAAATGCCTTAAATTTTATTTTTTATCAACTTTGTTACACTGTAGGGCACAAAGAATGCTATTAACCGAATA